TTCTACCAAGTATTCGACTATTCCCGATGCATGTGGGTGACCCCTTATGCACGTGCCACGTGCAAAACGAAGAGGTGTCAGTTTTGTAATTGTTGCAATATCTCGGTAACTACTTGGCCGATTGCGCTGAAAGTTGGAATGTAGGTAGGCACCCACTAGGCACTGCATATCCATGTGCCAGAGTTGGGGTGCTGCTGCACGTGCGCACGTGCAGGGGTCGTTTCCAGATCTCGAGAACGGCTGGACCGATAGCGCTCAAATTTGGTACACGGTTAGGGACCAGTTAGTAGGGTGCCGTGCACAAGTCAGTTGGGACCCATTTTGCACGTGCGCACGTGCAGGGTGCCGCTTCCAGATCTCGAGAACGGCTGGGCCGATTGTGCTCAAATTTGGCACATCGCTAGAGACCGGTTAGTAGGGTGCCGTGCATAAGTCAGTTGGAGGTACCCCTTGCAATTTCGCACGTGCAAGGCCCACCCTCTCGCTCGCTCCGTTAGTCGCCCCTCAAGGCGTTATACTGGTGGTAGGGGTAGTGGTAGGGGTAGTGGTAGGGTAGTGGTAGGGGTAGTGGTAGGGGTAGTGGTAGGGGTGGTGGTAGGGGTTGTGGTAGTAGAAGCGTGGTCCAGGCCTATCCAATGTGACGAGGTGACCTATAGGTACGACCTGGCCTGACCGAAGGTAACCTGGACTGACCCAGTGTGACCAGGGATGACCATCTTGACCTGACTTGACTCCGTGTGACCCAAATTTCATACAACTAAGCCCTCAGAATAGTTCTTATGTTCAAAATTTTCTTCTGCACGCTCGCTCCGTAATTACCGAACTAATAAAAGGGTCAATTATTCATCCAGCCAAGCCCTTTAGGTAATTCACTCTATTTTATAATCCTTTTCGGTCTATTGAAGACCTTTCAGGGTCATGTCATTAGAGGACCAGTATAACGCCTTTTGGGGCGAATAACGGAGCGAGCGAGAGGGTGAACCTTGCACGTGCGAAATTTCGAGGTGGTACCTCCATCTGACTTGTGCACGACACCCTACTAACCGGACTCTAGCGATGTGCCAAATTTGAGCACAATCGGCCCAGCCGTTCTCGAGATCTGGAAGCGGCACCCTGCACGTGCGCACGTGCAAAATGGGGTGCCCTCCTCACCTGCACCTATAGGTGCAGGTGCGCACCTATAGGTGCGCACCTGCACGTGCGCACTGACCGATGGCGCTCAAATTTGGTACACGGTTAGGGACCAGTTAGTAGGGTGCCAAATTCTACTAACTGGTCCCTTTAAACTTGTTAGCTCGCCTCTCAAGCAAAAACATTTGACAGCAGAAGACTGATGAATGCAATTATGGCGCGCGAATGACAAAACATGACGATATTTTAACACCGATTATTTTGCTTCTTAGGGTGTGTGCTAAGTAAAAATTGAGCATGAAACGACTCAACAAAGCATACTTGTTCTAAATCTATATTACTATGGGGTGGACTGACCCCCATGCATTCGGGGGTGGACACCCCATGCACCCCATGCATGGGGTGCAAACAGACAGACAGGAGAGGAGGGATTTAAACTTGCAGGTGCGCACCTATAGGTGCAGTGCGCACCTATAGGTCCCGAGGTGACCTATAGGTACGACCTGGCCTGACCGAAGGTAACCTGGACTGACCCAGTGTGACCAGGGATGACCATCTTGACCTGACTTGACTCCGTGTGACCCAAATTTCATACAACTAAGCCCTCAGAATAGTTCTTATGTTCAAAATTTTCTTCTGCACGTTTCCGTCCATATCTCTGCTTCCAGACGACCGATCAGTTTAAATCAAACACTATTCGAAAGCAAATTGGCTGCTGCCGCATTTTATGGCTACGCCGCGAAGCAAGTGGCGCAGCCGCTTGCTTTCACAACTCCTTGCTTGCTTTCACAACTCCTGCGATTTGGGGCAAAAATAGCGCATGTGGACAAATGTGGCGCACTGCGGCAAATGCGGTGCATTCGGTTAAGCGCACTGAAAACTGTCTTTATTTACCGAAAATCAACACCTTCATTCGCCTCTGTTTATCAAAACAAATAACTTGGCCAATCTGCAAATGAGAGGCACCCGCCGCCGATCGTCATGCATTTTATTGTCAAAGGCGATTGAACCCGGCTGCCGATGCCTTGAAGCAAGCTTGAGAGCCGAGCAAAATTTGGAGAAAAAGCACCTTTTTCCAGCGCGTGCCACGTGCAAGCCATCCACCCCTCGAGACCCGAAACACGACACTGCACGTGCGCGTGACGTCATCAACACGCTGCGAAAATTTCACCCCCCTCGACCGTACCGTTTGACCTGTGCACGGCGTCAAAGCACCCCTCTGCACGGTGCAAACAGACAGACAGACAGAGTTTCATTTCACTGACCCCCATGCACTGACTGACCCCCATGACTCACTGGGGCACTCACTCTCACTGGCCATGCAGTCCAGGCCCCACCACCCCACCACTTTGGCCATGCACTCACCACTTTGGTGAGTGCATCGGATTGAAGTGGTGAGTGCGCACCACTCACCACTTTGGCCATGCACCCCACCACTTTGGCCATGTCCAGGCCCCACCACCCCACCACTTTGGCCATGCACTCACTGACCCCCATGACTGACCCCCATGCACCCCATGCATGGGGTTTGCACAACACGCATGGGGTGCCTATAGGTGTTTAAATCCCTGCAAGTTTAAATCCCTCCTCTCTGGTCACACTGTCCCCCAAGCTTGAGAGCCGAGCAAAATTTGGAGAAAAAGCACTTTTTCCAGCGCGTGTCACGTGCGACCCATCCACCTCCCGGGACCCGAAACTCGACTAAAAACTAGGCACTGCACGGTGCCTAGTTTTTGGTCAAGCGGCTGCGCCACTTGCTTCGCGGCGTAGCCATAAAATACGCAGCAGCCAGTTTGCTTTCGAATGGTGTTTGATTCATACCGATGAGCCGTCTGGAAGCAGATATATAAATGAATATTCTGATGGCTTAGTTTGATAAAATTTGGGTCATACGGGGTCAAGTCAGGTCAAGTCTGTCATCCTTGGTCACACTGGGTCAGGCCAGGTCACCTTCGGTCAGGCCAGGTCGTATAGGTCACCACGTCACATTGGATCGGCCTGTGCCACACTTCTACTAATTCTACCCATACCACTCATCATCAACGTCATCAACATGACGTTGTCATCATGACGTCACGTCGATTTGTAGAATGAAACTCTGTCTGTCTGTCTGTTTGCACCGTGCAGAGGGGTGCTTTGACGCCGTGCACAGGTCAAACGGTGCGGTCGATGGGGCTGAAATTTTCACAGCGTGTTGATGACGTCACGGGCACGTGCAGTGTCGAGGTTCGAGTCCCGGGGGGTGGATGGGTCGCACGTGGCACGCGCTGGAAAAAGGCGCTTTTTCTCCAAATTTTGCTCGGATCTCAAGGCATCGGCAGCCGGGTTCAATGGACTTTGCAACTAAAATGCATGACGATCGGCAGCGGGTGCCTCTCATTTGCAGATTTGCAGCTTATTTATTTTGATAAACAAAGGCGAATGAAGATGTTGATTTTCGGCAAATAAAGACAGTTTTCAATGCGCTTACACAGATGCACCGCGTTTGACGCAATGCGCCACATTTGGCACGAGGCGCCATTTTTGTCACAAAACGCACAACTTTATCAAATATGGTCCGATAAACGTGCGATTCGGTGGAAGGATGCATGACAAACGGACAGGAAGAAATGCACCACTTTTGTCGCGACGTGCCTTTGAGGGGTCTCAGATCGATCGGATTGATAGGGAGCGCGTGGCGCGTGCCCAAAAAGTGCAAAATCGCGTCATAGACTTTACATGTATAAATCGGCGTGCGAAATCGGGCGAAAACGGCTAATTTTGGCCGACACGGGTCCGGTCCAGGTGCGATATCTTGGTGACCAGGGGTCCGATCGGCACGGGGAAAACAGCATCGTGTACAGAATTGAACGGGCTATTGAATGGTGTGCAATGCAGAGGATAGCACGCGCCACGTGCACCGGAGAGGGCACTTTTATTTGAAAAATTGCGGTTTTTGAGGGATTTTGGAATTAATTTTATTTTTAGGTAACCGTTAAATGGAGCGAGTTGAGTCAACGCCTATTTGCAAGAGAAATGTACCGCCTCTCATATAAAAATTGTGAAAAGCTGATTGATCCAAATCAAGGTGGTGCAAATCACGGGAGAAAATGGTGTTTGTCAATTTTGTGCCACTTTATTAATCACACGGGGTTTGCTGCATAACCTGATACCTTTGGCAATTGAATATGGTACCATTGGATAGAGCATTCAATTCTGTCCAATATACACTCTTCATTTTTGCATGGTGAGCAACAGTATCCTTAAAAATGTAAATGTTCCAAACCATTACATTGTCATTTTTAGCGAAATTCATCGATGGCCCTCAAAAGACTTCACGCCAGTTTTCGAATCATTCTAAAGTAGAACGCATGATAATACGACACGGGCACCTCGATGCGATGTATCTTTTTGTTTTCTTACAAAATGCTTGGCCCTCAAAAAGCAATCGAACGAAATGGATATCTACCAACCAAATCGACACAGACCAACCCAATACCCACGGGTCAAAAAATCCCCCCTTCGCGTTGCGGAGCACGCGGGTAACCCTAGTGTTGACTATTGACCACGCATGTCCTAAATTACGTTCAGAGAAGTCCTTGGATGACGGTCAGGTCGCATGTCACGCGGCAGTACTTGCAGGCAACAAACATGAAACGCCTGTTCCCTTCCTCTTCTGGAACAGAGGCCTATATCGTTTACTGTGTTTCCTTGTGTATCACATTTTTATGACATGATTGCCATACATTCTCCAAAGTCGCGTCGGTCATTTCGCAGCATCGTCGCCTTAGTTTGTCCCGGCTGCCTTGCCTTGCTTATACTTCCTGCTCTCTTTAGACAAGCCCTACCCCTCCATGCTCACCCCTCCCCCTCTCTCCCCTGTCTCGCAGATGATGGAGAAGCTGGCGGAGGAGGAGCGTCTGGAGCTGCTGACTCTCGCGGCACGCCGCCGGCGAGAGCTCGACCACCGCCGCCAGGTGGAGGAGATGATGGCAGAAAACCGGCGACGTCGCGACCAGGAGATCGCGCAACTCTGCAGCGAGAAGCGCGAGCTGGAGAGACAGGAACAGGAGCGGCTGCGCAAGGTGGAGCAGGAGCGCAGGAGGCTCCTGGAGCAGCACGCAGTCAAACTGGCTGAGTTCCTACCCAAAGGTGAGACGGGACGAGGGGATGAATGGAATGATAGAATGGGATGAGAGACGGATAACAAACTGTATGAGAATGCGCCGGGAACGTTAGTTTAGTCTAACTGTTAGCAACATGGTCAGTTTTAGTTATTCCGCTGTTGACCCGCGATTCGGAAAAGTATACCTCGTTGGTGTGTTGGCTTTGCATTTATGAATGCGTCTTGTATTGTGACTTCAGGCTTTCTCGTTCAACCTTGTTGCTTGTTTTTGCAGTAAGACAGGAGTTGAAGTTCCTTCTGATGTGTTACGACATGATTAAGATATGTGAGCTTATCTCGCTCCCTCCAATGCAATACAGCTGCTCAGTAGGCGCACGCTTCATTAGTTCCTCGTGAACAAGTCATTGACATCCTCCCTGATATATCAGCAGCGAGTTCAACGTTCCATGACATTGTACCGCTCGTAGCGGGGTTTCCTGCGCCACGAGACAGAAGAGTGCGGATCAGGGTGTGAGCGTACCGGTTTATTTGTACCGTTAGTCGCCCGCATCCGGTCCCCCAGCATCTAATCGCCATCTCGCCACGGGGGTTTTCGGCGGACGCTGTTGCGGAGACGACGGATTGTAAGGTGATTATGATGCAAGCGTTTAGAGTTTTCTCTTCGGATCAAGACCATGGAGTTCGATTATTTATGGAACACCTCAAGAATATCAGCAGTCATCTGCCATTATTTCGTCATGAGTATGGCTTATTACAACACAAAATGATATCGACGTTTAATAGGATCCGTCAGTGATGTTGTCAGGACTCACGCAGTGGTGAAAGCGCGTGTTCTCGCTGATCTCTCCAATGACGCGTAAGGTTGACTGCGTAGTAGTTCAAAGGGCTTGACTCTCCAGAACTCCTTGGCTTAGTATAATACCCGGCCGCTGGGTTGGGTTGGTCACGTGATCGGCCGACGGGCGCGGGTGCGTGGACTCTGAGGTCCATCGGGGATTTGTCTGGGAGGTGTCGGACCGGCCCTCCACCGGCGGCTTTCCCGGTGCCCCGACGGCCATCTATATTCATTGGTAGTCGGTTACATTATTCGGCGGCTCTAATACTCTGAAGGTGTGTATGTCCCAGCGGCTTCTGATTCTGCTTAGCCCTCCTGCTGGTGTCTTACCACGAACAGATGAGCATAATAATGTCAGCATTAGTCGTTAAGTTGGCGTGTAAATTAGTCACCGCGCCTGGCTCGTAGCGCCGCTGTCCGTCCACAATTACTGCAGGAATGCGGATGTTGTTTGTCAGGGCAGGAAGTCATGAAGGCGAGACATACATGAACTTGACTTTCAGTCTCGAATGAGTAAGCATGGAATCCTTCTGCATTGCTAAAAACTTTGAAGCTAGCCATGATCTGAGATTTGGGGCAGCAACTGATGCACATTTTGCAGCAGCATGACTGCATTGCTTTATTACCAAACCCCGACGAAGCCTAAGCTGTAAAGAAATTACCTCGGTGACAAGGTGCCGGACTCTAGAATCACCAGGGAGCGGCTCCAATCCGGTGCCGAAGACTTCCAGCGTCATTGGGTCGTTACTTGTTCAAAGGCATGATATATGACGCACAGCCATGCAATGCATGCCAATAGCCTGGCCTACAATTCGCATCCGGTAAGAGCAAGCTGCTATAATTTGATTCGCTGTTCTATTTCGTAAGGCCTTGCCTAATGGGTGTTGAACATAATTGTAGAATGCAGTGGCTACAAGAGATCTAGCCGACTCGGATAGTTAGATTTTCGTGGTAAAGTTAAAATCATAATAAACCTAAATTCGATAATGTAATTATTGCTCTGGTGTGTGCACGAACGCTTCCCCAAATTCTTAAGATGACCTTCATCTAGCTACAGCAGAAGATTTCGCGTTTATTGGATTTTCGTGCCATGCTCGATAAGGTCATTTCCGACACCACCTCAATATAGCTCTTAATAAACGTATCTCTTTCCACTCTGAAGGTATTGTGCGTGTCACACACTTTTAAAGATAATCCGCCGAGCCCGCCGCCGCGCCGCCTGTGGTTCGTGCGCCGCTTTGGCCGCAGCGCTGCGTCGTTTGCGCCGGCGTCAGTCTCGTTTAGGTAGTTCACGGCCGTTGAGTACGATGCGCTAGGTGTGTCTTCCTCTCAAGCCTCTAAAGGCAGCAGGAAGCAGTGCTTGCTTGGACTTTGGCCTTTGCACTGTTTCCGGCAGGCTAAACAATCCAATGGACGCCTCCTCATGCATCAGCACGGGCGGGCGTCGGCTGGCTTCCTGACAGCCGGGGAGGACGCTTGGATTGGTGTGTTGCAATTTGATAGGAAGCTGCGGATTAAAGCCAGTGTTGTATCTGATGATCATTTGTGTGTTTACATTCAGCGCTCAGGTCATAGCGGTTTCTCTGTGAAGCCTCGACTCTGCTTACCGGCTTCGACATGTGAAGCATGCCACCGAATACCGCTGCTCACATAAATGGCAGACCACCGACCACTTAGCTCTCATTTGGTTTGCGGATTAATTCCCGTACTAATGCCAGCACACGACAACATCCAATCTTGCAGATGTTTTCATCTAATGATGGAATCAAGGCTGTCCAAAGTTGGGATAGCGAGCTTTTTTAGGCTCCACCGCTAACAAGTGAAGCGTGCCTGCATATTGTCCAGATGACGAATCGGAAAATAATGACAGTCTCAGTGAGGATTATATCGACAGTGTGGAATGCATTTACTACACTGCAGAGATGACGTAAACATTACGTAACGGCATTATGACGTCATTTTCCGGGAAAGGTTTGATGTACTTGTGCAACAATTGGCATTGATGCTTATCTTGCAGATGAAATACTGAAGATTCGGGATACCCTGGCTATCGATATTAGTGACTATATTGAGCCTATACGGCAATTTTACGGTGGTGGGTAATCCCACATCCTGATTTTAAGCACTGGAAATTTGACATCTTCCCTTGATTGACGTTTATTGACCCACGTGAGTGACGCGTCCGATGTCCCAATAATCAGACAGAGATGTCTCTGCGATATTGCAGTAATGCAGTATTAGTATAGAAGTGAGAGCAAAGAAGCACACACAAACACTGTGTGGTGCTGTGTAGAGGTACAAAGCTCTTCTATGTAAACCCACCACGCCCCTTGTCGATACCACTCATGATAATCACACAAGCCTTGCAGCTCATCGGTAATGTCGCAACTGGTCAGGATCTAAACCCGTTCTCCACAGATGTACCCGCTGTCCGCCGTCGCCACCTCGCTCTCATGCCTCCACAAACTCCCCACAACTGTTTCAGTGCATGTTTGTGATACCACGGATGCGGCACATTGGTGGGGCGCCGGCTGTATGGCTGTTGTGCCATTCCTGACCGCCACCGCGGGACGTTTTAGTGTTGAGGTCAGCAGCTAGGACGGTGCCCTGTCCACCACGACATGCCCTTACCGCCTCAACTGCGCACAGCCCAACGACTGAGTCTATATAGATACCAAGTCTGCCCATAGCGGCGGTTGCGGAGTGTGCAAGGCATTCGGGCACGCTCAGTGTGGCTCGGATGGGCCCTGATGTGGCCAATGTACCCAGGCTCGTCGATGGGATGTTGTTGGTATGCCGGTGGTCTGGGTGACCTTCCAGGGTCGCTGGTGGTATCCGATGATATATATAATTTTATAGTAATGGACGAGCTTGGGCTGGTTTGTGACTCTGATATATGAGAGATGTTATATAAGTGGACAGCAAAGGTGGTCGTTTATGTGCAAAAGAAGCGAGTAGAACTGATAGACGTGAGAAGCACATGAAACTGTATTCAAAACACACTCATATGCTATTGAACCATACTCTTTGAAACTTACCGGTTTAGATGCCTAGCGTATTTAGCTTTCCGTGACCAACCCTTGTCCGTATTCTCCTCCTTACAGCGTCTTACGGATAGGGGTCGTTTGAACCCTTAGTCATTCGGCTTCATCTGAAGACCGAATTTTGCGTAAAGCAAGCGTGTGACGAGAGTGACGAGACGAAGTCGATATCACTCGAGGTTAAGGTGCTATGTGATAAGTTGACCGCTCAGGTCAGGCTAATGACCGAAACCTTAGCCCGCTCCCCCGTGGGTGTCCGGTCGAACGCACCCCGCTGTCAGCGGTATTCGCCATTCCCCCACAAGCACGATTGCAAGTCTCCTTTGAATTTCATTTCTTGTTCAGGTCTAAAATAAGCCGCCATATTCTGTCTGCATGCTATTGCGTTAGTGGAACAAGATTCGATGCCATTCCTACCGAATGGTAGTAATTGCTTGTCTTTATATGCTGAAAGGCCGATGGTTCAGTATTTTACCTCCATGCACCACTAATGTTGCATTGTGTTGGCACAGGTAAATCTATACAGCGAACGTTGTTTCATTGGATCCTGCGAATCTGGGCCCTAGATTGTATCGTGAAGGCGCTTTGGATATCATTACTGGGATTTCACCCCAGTACTGAGTTTTATATTGGCACCCGCCTTCGGGAAGCTCCTGTACGGCTCGTGTGACGGTGCATGATGTGCTGCCACCTACCGATGTGTTGTAGAATTGGTGCTTCGAGGGCCCGCCGCTTTTACGTGTGGCGCTGCGCGCAGTTTACGTCCACCATGTGCCGTCATTGCACCCATCGCTGTGGTAGATACCATAGATTAGATACCACTGGCGTATCGTTCATCCCTCCAACTACCATGCAACTCTTTTTCAGTCTCGCTATCCCTCATCTGCGACACGTGACCGCTCTGCACTGGAAGTCTCTCCCAGTGCACCCTGCTCCCTGCGACAGCCGAGACGCTCTGTCCGTGACCCCCGTCTCACCCCGGCCGCTGGTCTGTTCCAGGCGTGTTCCGGGACCGAAAGGAGCTGGAGGAGCTGGGAGCCCACTCCGAGGCCGTGGAACACCTTCAGGAGACGGAGAAGGAGGCCAACTATGTCAATATCTGCTAGACGTCGCCGGCCGCGGAGAGCGTTCACCTCCGCGGCCGCCGAGAGCGTGGTCTCACTGCCAGAATTGTGCGAGAGATGCGATCACGAACACCGACCTCCCTACTCAGTGGGTCTGTGTCAGGCGCTATAGACCGAGACGTGCGACAGTGGCGACGGTGGAACCCAGAACACGAGACTGTGATGCAAATGGATCTCAAACTTGATGCGAATGGATCTCAAACTAGTACAGACTGCATGATTTGAAGGCATTACGCCGTGGCATTGCCGAACATGACACAGCAACTGCCGTGATGCCGATGCTGAGTCGTAAATTTTTGGTGTTTGTTGTGTGTTAACTTCACACAAAGTAACTGAGCCGTCCAGTCTGTGTCCTTAGCTCGTCCTTGGACCTTGTCATTAGTGTTGAGTACCAGCTGAAAAATGCAGTTGAAATCAATAGTACGTCATGCTGCCAGTGCAATACATACTGTCAGTATTACCTGTGGATTTGATGGATGTATGAGTCTGAATAATTCCGTGTGCGTACCTACTCATCCAATGAAAATCGACTAATTTCCTGAATTCACGGCAATTCAGGTGGTAGGTAGAACCGTGGAGCCCATGAGCGAAACCGATTCGATTGCTTCACCAACAATAATTCACATATCACTTACGGAAACTTTTTGTCGCGCCCTGCATTGCCCCTGACAGGGCACTCCTGAATTCAGCTGTTGTCCCAACGGCTTCTATCATTTTGTCTCCAATTCTCAAGTGGCAGTGGAAGGACGCGGAGGACGGCAATAAAAAACTGTATGGATGATTTTTGAACGCGCTGAAATGATTTGCATTGTAAAAAAAAAATCCTCACCATCTAATTGGTGCTGTTCCCAGGAGGTCGTCGCATTTGAAGCATGAACTGCGGTGTAAACAGCGTGTGACAGGGTCCAGGTCGGATCTATGGCTTTAGAACTTCGGCAATCAATGCAAAGTGATCACCGTTGAAGAGTGGTCGATGAAAAGACAGGTTTTAGGAATCCGTCCTGCGGAGGCTGCAAAGCGGAATCAGGTAGATAATATGTTTGGGGGATTGCTGCTCTTCGCTAAAGACAGTGAAAGTCACCGAGGGTGGCCATTGCAGCCGAAGATGGCTGAATAGATAAACTCAGCAGTGAAAGTCATTGAAGATAAGGGTGTTTTATTATGATTTGTTTCCAAGAAGTTAAACCGAAACAAATCGTCAAACGAAAATTGTGATTTAACAAGGACTAGTTGACCCAAGCTGACCTGACCTGACATGCTGTAAACATGCATTAAAAAATTGAAAAAGAAAAGATGAAAAGTGCTTGAATATCTCCTTCGATGTGTAAGTTATAAAGGGCTATAGCCAGCGAGAGCAGTGTGTAACAAGGATGACTGGGCAGTTTGTGCGTATTTTGCCGTGTTATAGGTAGGTACTGGCATTAGATTCGCGTTAGCAAGAAATAGGTGATGGACATTGATGTTTGATTAAAGGGCGTTGCGAAATAAATTTGTAGGCCGCTCCATTCTAGAGAAATTTAAAAAATTTATAGGGACTTTTTAGCATGAACTCTCTGTTTTCTCAGCTTTTGTCAGATACCGTCTGCGAAAATATTCCCGCGCCATGTCGCATTGCGCGCAGATTGCGATGGTGGATGGCGTGGTGGTAACGTAGTGATAGTGTTTGTGTGAGTGTGTGTTTGAGTGAGATTTGTTTGGTTTCCTCATTTAGTGATTGAAAAATGAGTTGTTTTATACAAGTGGCGGATGAAGAGAATGAGGAACCCATTGAGATTCCCGTTGAGGAAGATGGGACGCTGCTGCTGTCGACACTAGCGGCGCAGTTCCCGGGTGCTTGTGGATTGAAATATCGGTCTGAAACAAGAAGTTTGAGAGGTGTGCGTCTGTTGGACGGAAAACTTCGTCCTCCAGAGAATGGATGGGGAAATGCTGTATATCTGTGTGTGTTCCCAAAAGGTCAGTAGCAACATTTTAATTTCAAGGTCGTGTAACTGGTGCAAAAGTGGCGCACTAGGGTTGCGTTTTCTGCACCTATTTATGTCAGTTTGAAGTCTATGATGCATTGCTCCATTCCTGATATTTGTAATTTTGTTCCTACCATATCATCCAAATTGAATACTCGTCAATTTCTTGTCATCATTTCAAAACTTTGGCTGCAATGGCTTGCCAGTGGTGACGACCAGGCTTCACGTTCCTTTTTACCCTGGAGCCTTTGCATATCTTTTTACAAGATCTTTTATGGTCAATATATATATTCTGAATCCTGGATCTTAATTTCTGATGCACTGACCTAGCTTTTGATTGGGGCTCATTATGTGGTGCGGTGTACGCTATCAAAGGGACATATGGTCAAAGGAAGCTGCTTAATTAAATTTGTTTACTTACTTCTAGATCTGGTAGATTATTCCTGTTTTTTCCAGAAAGGTGGAATTGAATTTACTAAGGAAATCTGAAGAAAGTTAAAAGTAATTCTTTAGGGATTTTAGCATAAATACCAGCTCGCAATTGATTGTCATAGACTTTCAGGATAACTTGCATGCATCTTATTGCTAAGTTGATGTATGATCTTAGAGTTTTCATTGAAAACAAACTGTAGACAAGCTAGGGTTTATGATCATATTGGATCACGTCTTGTGTTAAAGTCTCTCTTGGATCAATGATCTCATAGCATCCTGCAAGAAACCAACAATGATCTATAATATATGTGGATGACAGACCCTTTGGAATATTGATCAGAGATGTTCCATGCAAAATAGTGCCATAAACAAAACTGATAAATTTGAACTTAAAGTCGTCAAATCCCTTTGCTTTGTAGAGTAGCATTGTGTAGAATTAATGTAAAATGTAGGTGCACTTGATTCATTGTGATATGAAGAGTACAATTAAATTTCTCAGCCCAACTTGCTAGTTTCAAAGATTTCCATTTTTATGGAACAGTATTTGAATAGTACTCCTGTTGCATCTTTACATTTTGGAAAAGCAAGACATTTTCACATCCTTTGATAAATTTGAAACAGTTTGGATGAAATACAAATTATATGGTCATTAGTTCTTCAGAAGTTTTTTTTTTTTGCATGACAAGTGTACAGTTATCAATTTCTTCAATCAACAATTCATTTCAATTTGGATGATATCCAATCCTGCATCCTTTTCGAACAATTGGACAAAGTGATTTCACATTATGCAACCTGTATTTTTATTGCCCACCCCAAATCATCTGGCTTCAAGTTGACTGTTGATGTGTTGGAAATTAATGACTCCCAGCTCTTAATCAAACTTATAAGTAGGTAATTTGCCTTGCTAGGGTGTTTGTTTCAACCAAGCAATGATAAGCTGTTAAATTATATTATATGAATATTCCTCTTGGCCATAATGCATTTAGACTGCATTTTTTAGAAAGCTCATGACACAATAATGTATATTTAGATAGGCTATGGTTGACAAAAGGAAATTTGGTCTCACATTGTGTTTCATTTCGGTCTATTTCTCAGCAAACTTTTCTCTTTGATTTATTTGCACTGCTGTCAGCAATTGGTGACCAGACATTCACTAGCCAGATATGAATTTTGTTTCCAAACATTTGTTGATTAGATGATTCTGTCTGAAAAGTGTTGTTTTCAGCTTAAGATACAAAGCTGCTGCCTGAATTCAAATACCTGTAATCGCTTGCATTTTTGTCACCACCATTTTTAGGTAATGTAGGTTTTCTGCCATGTTTCCCATCAAATATATATTGTGTTTGTTTGGCGGACAATTATACTCATTTTAATTCAACCATAGACCTCTGTACAAGGTGCACAGAGGTCTGTGATTCAGCCTAGCCAACTTCTGGCCAATTTTGGCTGGCTTTGGTGAGCTGATGACTGTACCTGTGTTCTGTTACAGAAACTCCAGAAGGTGAGGGACGCTCGGCAGCCAGCAGGGGCTCAGGTCGGTTATAACCACATGGTCAGGTGTCGGTCAGCCACAGGTCACACGGGTCACAGGTCAGGCGCGAGCAGTCTCAACCAGTCTAGTCTTGAAACCGTCGCGAGTCCGCGCCGGCTGGCCACCTGCGCAGCTCTGCCGTGGACAGGTTCCTTTGTCTTACCCTGAGGGCTTGCCACTGCTGTCAGTGATCCGTACTCGCCGCTTTGCTGTAGTTTAATCTTTCTGCTCTCATTTTTGCATTGAATCTACATAGTATACTTTTCCATGTGATGAACAAAATTATTTAACTAGTAAATGGTAGAAGTTTTCAATCAGCATCATTACATGAACTTGATACACGTGGCACAGTTAATAACCATCTTGCTTTCATTCAGTTTTGCATGTTGAATTGTTAGCTTTTGAGTCGGGTTTTACTAATTTTGAATACTACTTTTGTTTAAAACAAATGCATTTTACATATATGTTATATAACTTGAAGTGTGGGTATCCAATGTAGCATATTATGTTCTCTATTACACTTACCTTCAAGTTTTGCATGCCATTTATCTCTGTATTCTCTGTAGCTGCTTAAATCTTTTTGTACCATACACTCCTTATTTCCGCCCTTGTGTTGCCTGTCCGCGCGACTGGGGCCCTTTTGCGGTGTTTTTCTTTTTCTATTGGAATTTGGGCCCTTGTGCGGTGGAGCGCTGCAGGTGGCTGGCCGGTGCGCTGAGCGAATGTCGAGTGGGTCGAGAGAGAACGAGACAGAGCGGAAGCTGGCGCACAGTGAGAGTGAGATGTGTGGCTAACACGACTGCCTGGACGAGAGAGAAAGAGAGAGTCGCGGGGGTGTTTGCGACAGGCATTTGCCAGAATGCAGTTCACAATTGGTCTCGTATATATAGAAATGAGGCGATTGCTTTCAGTTCATGCAATTGCACTTTATCTTTGTACATTGGCATATGTCTGCTAGGTGCGTGGGCTTGCAAATGGCTACCTTTTGGTTTGGTCTGGTCGTGGATGCCAGTTGTCTGTCCTAACTGTGTGTCGACCAGGCGTGGCTAACTCTTATCTCGCAATATCCTTACGTGGTTCAGCCCTTTCCGCTGCTGTAGCAATGGGCGATGGATGCTCGTTTAACATATGTTCTAGCTGCCCTCCTTACACGCCTGGTCCTGCGCTTCACCGGCCGCGTGTCTGCCTGAGGTTCTGAGAGCCCGCGAGAGAGGTGAATCCGTGCGAGAGGGAGAGACTGTGAACTGTCTGACGTGCGGGTGGTGGGTGCGGCCGGCGTCGGCGAGCGCCCTGCATGCGACCGGCGGGCCCGCGCCGCGCGCGCTCCCTCCCCCTCACGGCCCCGTTCGACGCCTTCGCAGAGAACAAACGCAAAAACGATGACCAGCTGGAGGCCAGCCTGGCCAAGACGAAGCGGCTGGAGCTGAAGCAGAAGTGCTCCGACCTGATCGTGCTCGGCCTGCCGTGGAAAACCACCGAACAGGAGCTGCGCGAGTACTTCGAGTCGTTTGGAGAGGTCCTCATGGCACAGGT